CAGTGAAAATAGTCAGGTTGGTGTCTGCCCAAAAGAGAGAAGTAACAACACATGAGACACACACTTCGAACAAACGGCTGACGTGTAAACACATGCCTCAGACCTACATTACAGGGCTTGCCTATCTACACATTCCTGGGCTGTAGCCCCTTCAACACAGTGGGACTTCTGTTAAGGACCACATATAGCCTCCAAACAGAGCTGAAAGGCCAAAGTGAAGACCTAAAAGTGTAATGGAAAAATCACATGAGATATAAGAATATACTGTCAGCGTTTTTACAGGCGTCAAAAGCTGCAATCTAAAGTTTTTTTGTCAATCTTAAGCATTAAAGATTGTTTTATGTTACATTCTTTTTTATGTACACTCAATAATCAGACATAGGCTCGTTTTTAAGTCATATTATTTAAAAAGGATGAGAGGAAATAGCATGTGTACTTTGTTGCTCCAGTTAAAGAAAATGCCAGACACTATCTGACACTTAAATGCAAGTGTAATTTCTTATGATGATTTTTCAGTCCTCAGGCTTTTTTGAAGTTCATCAATCATAGTAAGACACAAGGACCGTCATAAAGACAAGAATGTCATTAGTCCTCTGTCACAGCAGTTTTTGTCATGAAATATAGATAGCTATTTCAACTTGACACATACTGGAAGCTGTCCCTAATCTGATCATGCAATTTATGTTGCCGGGAGCTATACACCTTTTTAGTTAACACAGCTTGAAACTTTTGAGTATTCACCTTTATTCAAATTAAGCAGCAGTTTTTAAATATCTGTCACCCTTAAACAACACATGTAAAGAAGAAAAAGGCTTACCTATAGTGATTCGATCAACATATTCTTCTCAAAATATCTAAAATTATTATGACATCTCTATACCAGATTAGATATTGTGTTTACAAATAAATATATGTAGTGCATGAAGCATTACTGTTTATGTGTAATACGTCACTAAACACCTTAGTTCAATGCTACGCTACATTCTGCACACACACACCAATATGTTATAATCAGGAAAGGAGTATCAAAGAGGTCGAAAGTACAGTTTCCGTCCATGTTTTCATTAAACTGTATTATAGGGTCCCCTGACTGAAACTGAAAGGGTGAGACTGTCACTGCTATAGTGTGATCTCAGGCTCAGCTCTGCAGATATAGGTCTTTAAGGGACGACTTGTTTTTCCCACATGTAGGTCACATGGGCACTTAAGTACATAGATAACCTTTGAAGTGCTGCAGTTAATAAATGTCCTGATGGAGAAAAAGCTGCCTGTGTGGGCGGGTGATTTTATTTCTATGGTGTCATCCTCTCTATGGGCAATCCTCCATCATTTCTAGATAATCGTTTTGGTAACAGCTGTATTTGAGTTAATGATACATACTTTAATCCAGCCGATCGAATGTGTCCTGGCAAAAAAACGCTTGGCATGACCCTGACTGCAATATGCTACTTATGCCATATCTGGTACTTTTACTATTTGTGAACTGCATATTTGACTGTCTTAACTGTTTGCTTTACATAGACTCCCACCAAGTGAAACAGTGTCTAAAATCCTTCCAACCCTAACAAATATTCCAGTAGAGAAAATGTTTGGGCTGCAACAGGAGGGTAGCTGTGCCAAATGTAGAATATAGTCTACAAAATAGAGCGCACAGACCAAAATGTCATGATAATACAACAGCCACATGAAAATCCTCCAATCTCCTTGTTTACATGTAATTTATGTATTCTGTATAAAGGCTGAAAGTCTGTCGCCCTGCAACCATTTTCTTTTATCAACTGTAACATTTCAGCTTTGAGTCAGGAAGTCCACCAAACAAAGCCGTACAGCCAGTTTGAAATTATTTAATTTGATGATGGCATAAAAGAAACATAATTCAACAAATGCATTATCCCTCCGAATATTGTCACAGAAAGGCAGTGGTATAAGGCTAAGTAAAAGGACTGACTGCAGCTGAAGATAAAAATATTCCTCACTTGCTTTTCCTAACCGCTACTCTAGAATTACGTGTGTTGCCAAAATTGTCCCACATGTCTCAAGGGTGTGTGTGTGTGTTTGGAGATCTCCACCCTAGTGATAATGACAGACTGCAATTCACTCAATGACACCACAAGCTCATACAAAACCAAACACAGAGGTCCTTCTTTAAAATACACACAACCCTATAATTTGAAAGATGCCAGAAGAGGTTAAAAGGAATAATATTTCTGCATCTGTTTTACCAAAGTAAAACCATAGCAGCTCATGGAAGGCTGTTAGTAAGATGAGTTAAATTCACTGGTCATCTGCATTGAAATGGAACAGGGAGTGGATGGGTGGGACTCCGTTTGGGACACTGGTCTCCTTTGTTTGCCCATAATAAATGGATGAAAAAGGGAGAAAATCGAAATCTGGTAATACCTAAAATAGGCTACGTATACCTGCTATCAGACATCCAGAGAGTTTATATTGGATGTGATGGGGGGGCCTTCATAGTTAGGTCATTTTAAGGCGTGGTTGTGCGATGCTATTTACAGAAGTACTTTGAAAGAGTTTTTCTTCCTACGTGTACATTCATGCTTTCTCCTCTCCACACTCCCTCTCTCTGTAAATAAACTGATTTTCCTGAACTAAAAAAGAAAAAGAAGCAGATAGAGAAACACAGTTTATAGATTAGAATACATTTGTTTGAATGTGAATTCATATTTATATGAATAACAACCTGCAAAATCCCACATTACATTTAAATCATCATAAGAGTTCTTAAGACAAATGGACCCATCTGTGGACAGTCAATGCATACTTGCCTGTTAGCTGATTGTTTTTAATAATTTCCTTAGGTATGAATCCTGACAGCAGCAGCTGGAGGAGATCCATGTTTGACGAAAGGGTAAGTCTAGTGGCGGGGGAAAAAATGATGATAGAAAATACGTTGGTACCAGGGTGTGTGTTTTTGCATGGAGAGGTAGAGGAAAAACAGGCTCAGACTTTAACGTGTGTGCTTTTCAGGTCAGAAGGGACCACCAACCAGTCTCTGTGGAGGATTCAACTGCTTGGAGAGCCAGCTACACTCCACGAAGCTGGAAACCAGAGGTGTGTGTGTTTGTGTGAGCGGGTTCCAGAGTGCTGCATGCTTAAACGCTCTGTCTCACCTCTTTTGAACTCTGAATAACCTGCCCAGGCCTGCCCACTTCCCTCCCACCTCAGCTCATTTGCTTTTGTGTACAGTATGTTTCCTCCAGTAGGGTGTTCTTCAGCAGCTTCCATTGCTCTGTCATCATGTTTCCACTATATTAAGCAGAGCTGTGCTTCGGCCAGTTGCTTGCACCTCATGTTTCATGTTTAGGGGAGGCTGTTGCTGTGTCTGGCTCCGCAGACCAGAGTAAGCAAACCTGCATTAGCCCCAGTGATCACCTACAGTAGGCGTGGGTGCCAAGTCGCTGATGGGAAATTTTTCACTCTCTAAAACTCCTCAAACCTATTGATTCATTAACTATCAATGTTGCAACCAAACTAAAACTAAACGGGCGGATATGACAATATATTTGTGAACTGCCCTGGATTTTTATGATGTTTATTCTAGAGTAGTTATCCCAGTAATATCCATCAAAATTCTACTTTGTTTGAAAATTAATACAATTCAACTAAAAGCATTTTCTCCCCAACTTGATCAAGTATTATTTAATTAATTGATTTTTGTTGTTGTTGTCAACATTGATTCATCTGCCGAAATGTTCTCAATTAACTGATTAATTGTTTGGACTATAAACAGTGGGAACAGTATTCTCTCAGTTTTCTATAGTCTAAGATAGTGTCCTCAATTGTAGTGTTTTGTCCAACTTACACTCTAAAACACAAAGCTATTCATTATTAAATCACACTAGTAAAAGAAAAGCTGAAATTGCTCACAATTGTGAAGCTTTCACGAGAGTACACAGCAATACCATTAAGGAAGTCCATTAAATGTCACACCCTTCACAGATTTAGAAGGGAAGGAAAGCTAAAAAGGTGCGGTAGACCCATGAATGAAATGAGTTTTAGCTTGAAGGCATTTTTTTCCACAGCCGCTCAGTGGCCTTTGATCACAGACATTAAAACAGAACGAAACAAAGTTGTTAAATGATTGAAAGCAGCTCTGAGCCTGGGTCACGCTAATATTTAACTTACTGTGCTGATGACAGCTTAACATTTAGCTGGACTGCTAATGAAATCGGATGAACTGCTATACTGAGGCTTTGGCTCCTACCTGCATTATTCTGTCTCTGTGCTGCCACCAGCACACACAGATCAGATAACATGGCCTCTTTGGCAGATGTCACACAGGTGTTTGTTTACAGGACATCCGGGCCCCTCCACTGCCTCTTTATTTGTATGCGTGTGTGCCATTGTTTCATGGCTTTGTTGGATTCGAGGCGGGGAAGCGCTATTTGACAACGGTTTCCACTGTCACATAATTCCTGTGACCCCAGCCCTCCTGTGTATAATACAACTTAATCAAACAGATCATCTCAAATAAGAGATAAAACATTCCAACCCACTTTTGTTCCCAGATATGGAAATAGATTTGGTGTCATTATTTGAATAGATTTTTGAGATGTTTGCCTCCGCCATAAATCACATTCAATTGAATGTCATACAGTTGGGAAGACTCCAGAAATATAGGAGCCTTTATTTAAAAAAACACTAGCAAATAAATAAACTAAAACTATCTGCACAGCTAGTTACCACTAGAGGTAATGCTTTTATAATGTAGGTAAACCGACCCTTTAAACAAGGCTTGTCTGTACTCAGAAAGTGGGTTGGGTAGTTGGTATCAGGTGACTGTTGGAATCAGTAGTTACGTAAGTCTGTATTAGTAGGTTTTAGTTTACCAAGTACTGAAGCCAGATGGTTAATTGTCCCACTGCTGACTGACTGCAGCACAAACACAAGTGCTCCCAACACTGTCCTCTGTCTTCCTTCCTGCAGTATAAGGGACAGGCCAATCTGCATGTTTTTGAGGACTGGTGTGGCAGTTCTACAGCTGACCTCCACAAGAACATGCACTACCCACTGTATCCTCATGTGAGTAAATACCTTATCTTCATTTGACATGTGTTATGTTGAATTGATTGTTTAAACTGTTAGCCACACTAGCATGTTCAAGATTACATTTTCAAAGGCTTAATTGTCAGAAGGACAATTACAACATCTTAGTTTTATCATATTTAGTCCCAAGTTCATTCAACATTGCAACATACAATATACTTAAGACATAAAGAAGAAGACATAAACTAATGCAAAACATCAGTGCAATTTACACATTATGTGCAAGCAGGAATAAGTATAGACATATACAATAGATTAAGATAAAACAATATAAACTATACTCAATAGTAGAAAATATACTGTAATAATATATTTTCATGCTGCAAAGTCACCATCTGCACTCACTCGGACTAAAGCGCTTTTAAACACACACACACACGGTTTGTTTTCACTCAGAGGTGCATTCTACATCCACGTGCTAAATCCTCACGTCCCTGGACTCAAGATGTAGTCTCACTTTGAGTAAGCATCATGACTGACTCTTTGTGTTTCAACTTCCTCTGCCTTTCAGTACAGGACGACAGTTAAGAAGCTGGCCGTCTCTCCTCAGTGGATCAACTACGGGCTCAGGATATTTGGTTATCTACATCCTTACATTGACGGTACAACATGTACTTTTCATCTAGTTTCGGTCTATTAGCATGTACATGTTTGCAATACGTATCACTCTATCTTTTACTTAATCAGTCACTTTATCTCATTTTATTTCTCTCCTTGTCTCTCAGGAGATTTTGTGTTTGCTTTGAGCTCTGATGACAACTCAGAATTGTGGCTCAGCACAGATGACTCTCCCGATAACTTGCAGTCATTGGCATGGGTTGGAAAGGTATGCTAATCTATGAGCTTCTGAAGCAGCCGTTGATCCTTTCCTCAAACCTTACTGTCCGTAATATTTGTTTACATGTGGGCTTTTCTTCTCTAGACTGGAACAGAATGGACTGCCCCTGGTGAATTTGAGAAGTATGCCAGTCAGACCTCCAAACCAGTCTGGTGAGTTTTGGCAATATATTTCACAGGCCTTTTATTTAAAAAAAATCAGCAAACAGGAACAACTGTTATGACACAGACGTTTTGCGTGACTGCAAAACTCAATTGTTGGAGACACTCAAGTAGTCAGAATGCCATGCTTCATCGGGGCTGTGTGAGTGTGGTCTTATCAGATTGAACAGTGGCAACATAAAGAATCGAATTGTGATTGGTGCGCTGTTAAACGGGAATTAACATTTGTCCTTTGTCACTCTTCCTCTACAAAACATACATAAAACAACACAAGCTAAATCAAAAATCAACTTTGCCAATCATTTTTTATTTTGTAAAAGTGTAGAACTTATGCCAGTACATCAAACCAATGCCTTAACGTAAGCAGTTTACGTCAAAGAACCCATGCATAAGCATTTCTGCTTAAAAATGGAAATGCACTTCTGAGAATTCAACCTACAGTTGTTGCTGCTTCATGGCAATATTTGCTTACATAGTGCCGTTTCTTTTCAGGCTGTGTGGGTGGGGTTAACTGGAACCAGGCAGGATATTTAGTAGGCTACATGATGACTAATTTTGTTGGTTGACATCAACAAGAGCCTGTTCTGCCACAAGTGTCCGCTTCAATGAGATGAGCTTAAGATTGCAGAAATAATATTTTCAGAGAAAACAAACTGTGTAGTACCCAAAATAAACTATAAAAAAAATATATATATCTGCTTGAAGAGGCTGCAGAGGAAAATATACTGGTGAACTGATGTTTATCTGACCGTGGGATCTGCAGCATTCCTTTATGTATCAAATCAACTTTATTTATACAGCTCAATATCACACATTTGCCCAAGGAGCTCTGCAAAATGTACAGCATTTCCTTAGGCCATTGATTAGGTAAAGAATCCTTTAACAGTATCAAATACAAATAAACTACTTAGGAGCCCACACACACACTTAACTAAAAGCTAATTGATTGTGTTTCTATTTAGGAACAGTTTAGGTTGTGTCAGATGTGACTAATATACTGTACTTCTTAATATGACCCTTTACTGTCTGACAGGCTGTCTGCTCAAAGAAGGTACTTTTTTGAAGTCATCCACAAGCAAAACCACAGAGGGACTGACCATGTGGAGGTGGCAGTAAGTCAACGAAATATCCCCTCCTTTCTTTATTTGTTATTTACTTGTTCCTAATAGCCATATTAGGTTTATGCTCATTTTCCTGTGCACTATGAATCATAAATGGGAAGAAACATGCAGTTCTTTGTGTTGGTTTCACACAGTGGCAGCTCCTTGACCAAGGCTCTCGTTTCAAGGTTATTGAATCCCATCACATCTCCCTCTACGTTAGTAAGTACAAAGAAAACCCAAATATCAATCCTGCTGTTTAAACACTGCATCACTCTGTAAATCTGTCATAATCTAGAGCTCAGGGGGGGTCTCCATCTCACATTGTCTCAATCTAAAATCTGTTTGCCTTTATTTTACTGATAGGAAACTCAAACCTGCTTGTCAAGTCAGTGGTTTTGCTGCAACGTAAGCACAGCTCTTACTGTCATGTCATGTGATTTGTCCCACAGATGAGTCTGCCTTGTTAATGAGTGACGTAGCCCACATACCACAGACGGCTGCAAGCCACCAGCACACCACCACAGAACAGCAGAAAGGTGCAGCAGACATGCTGAGGGAAGACCCGCGAGACTCTTTCTACCAAGGTGAGAGACGTCTCATTGTTGGCCTCTTTCTTTACCACACAGCAGATAAATGACCTCAACTTCCATTTCCGACTCTTCAATTACAAGTACTGTGCAGCTTATATCCTCCCACTCAATTCAAAGTAATCTTATCTCAAATGTTTTGTGTGTGTTTTGCAGTGCCTTTGCTAGACAACAAGTTCCTACAAGGTGTCCTTCCTGACTGCTCGTACAAGCCCAGCTACATAATAAAAGACTTTCCTCTCCTCCGCTATCAAGGACTGCAGTTTGTATGTATTTATAAAGTTTGTTAATTTACACCCACAATATTCTTCAGAGCTCAATATTCACACAAAAAAGTCCTGAATACAGATGAAGATTACATTGAGGACACAGTGTTTCTTGTTCCTGCTCCAGACTTATACAGGACGTTTTTTCCATCTTTCATAGAACTCTTATTTTGTTTAAATATGTGTTTCTTCTAAGCAGGAATCTAAATGATGGCAGTATATAATGCCCTCGGAGAACTAGTTTAAAGATGATGAAGACATGCTGCATCGATTGGAAAGCGTCTCACATAGTAGCATGGCCTCTGATTCCCTCAGTTGATCCTTTAACCTCAACCTGATTATTCGTCACTTGGGCTGACTTCCTGAAGTCTGTGCTGGTTGCCCAGCAACCTCCTAGTGACAACAAGACACAAGGATGTTACTGGCCAACAAAGAAATACTCCTGCGCATAACCCCTGATAGCACACGATATGTTGATTTGACACTTTGGTATGATACATCGTGTAAACTAGTGACCTTTAATTTGTTTTAAATGCTTTTGAAAAGAGCCAGGTCAGCAGTGTCACTCTGTTTTCCCTCAAGGCCGTTGTTCCCAGTACATTTGGGAATGCCATTTTAAAATGCAATATATTTTGGGATATGTTTGGTCTTGAACCATCCAGCCTTTGGATCCTTCTCATAAAAAAATCACACATTAAGGGAGCTTTTAAAGATGGGACGGACGCTGTAATGTATTAGGCATTAAAATGCATACTTTGAAGGATTTGGCTGTTGAATTGAGACGCAGCTTTTATGTTAAGCAGTTAGGACGTAGAAGCAGTTTTATATGAGAGTGATATTGACCTCCTCACCTCAACAAAACTATTTTAGTGTGGAGATTATTTGAATATGCACCTTACTTAACATATTTTCTGAAATCTGCTGAGAAAAAGAAACACATGCAGTTCCTTAATACAAGATCCCCTGATTTATCAGCAAGCTCGCATAGCTTTAACAGTGTCATTTATTCTTCCCAGGTCCACATGTCCTACATCTTCCCCAATGACTACACCCGACTTACACACATGGAGACAGAGAACAGCTGCTTCTACCCCGAAAGTCCCTACTACATGAAGATGTAAGACTCCATGCATTAATATGATCCATATGTAGTAACACTTGTGTCATTCTGTACTAAATGAAATGCAAACTGGGACAGAGAATCATTAAAATAGGTTTACAGTATGATCAACAGAGGGTGCTGTTCAGTGTTCACATCACAACATGAAAGGGTTTTATTTATTATTTTTTTGAAGAGATTCAGTTCAAGCAATACAGTGATTTGTGATCTTAATCTAACATCAGGCCAATTAAGGTATTATTAATCTCTGTCTGATTATGTGTGTTGTCTCTAGGTTTGGTTTCTCCAGATACATGAGATTAGACCGACCTGATACGCAGGAAACAGGAAACATAGGACAAGGTCTTTTTAATTTTTTAATTAATTTTTTTTTAAATTACTTGTATTGTCAGTCTATAACACTCTCGTTTTCTGTTAGATTTTGGCCTCCAAAGAAGAAAATCGGAGCAAGTTGAGGAAGATTACTTTAACAATGAAACCTATCAAAGAGAAAAGGAAGCGGGGCGGGACCAGGTTGATAACGCAATCTTTCCAGACTATGGTGATGATTTTGATGATTATGCTCAGAAACGCAGGCGCAAACTCTTCTCCTTAGTCGTGCAAGACACTAATAACAAGCTACAGAACACGTCTGACACAAGACGGCACACAGATGAGTTGCAAAGGAGGCAACTGAAAGACATTGTCCCAGAGCCAGAGCAACAGAAACCAGCCCAACCTCAGCAAACAACACCAGCCTCAAAACATCAACCGCCTCTGCAACACAACCACTCACAGTTAAAGCTGGAGAGCCGGATTAAAAAAGTAGACAAGATAAAACTGAAGGGAAAGTTAAAACCAGCAAAGAAACGAAAGCCTGAATCAGTAAAGACCGCTGTGAGACCAGGAAAGACAAATCCCATGAAGTCATTGGACAGAGAGCAGCTTAAACCAATGGAACAACCAGCAGTCCCCTCAGAGCAGCTCCATTCTAAACGGCTTAATATACAGAGGTCCCGTAAAATGAACAGTACCAAAAATCAGAGACTCAAAGACTCAAAACTTCAACCCTTAGAGAAGGCTAAGGAGGATGCTCCTCCGCCTGAAAACCCCACAGTGGACCTTCAGCGGAAGTTAGTAAAGATTGATCTTCAGCCAACTGCAAATCACCAATTTGCGACTCCTAAGAAGGACATTGAGCGCTCTGTAGTATTGCTAAATCAGAGGGACACATATACTAAAAACAAACGTAGGGATAGGGAGCGAAAGAAGAAAATGCCTCTGCAGGATCTAGAAAATAGCATTAATAGAGCAAAAATTATGGCTGAAGGGAAAATGGAGAAAAAACAGTCAGTTACGAGAGAAGTGGAGGACCAAGGAGGGAAAGAAGAGGAGGATCGTAACAGGGCAGTGAGACAGAGAGAGTCTCTGTGGCGACCAGGGGAAGACTTTGAAGGTACGGATGATGAGGATCTTACCCCAGCGCCGGTGTTTGACACGGAGGTTAACTGGAGCCAGACTTTCCAGGTCAACCACCTGGACCTTCAGGCTCAGCGGTCGGACTGGATCGACCTACAATGCAACATCTCAGGCAACGTGCTCCTCCAGCCCCGTGACGCTTTGCTCATAGTCCAGGCTTTCATGGACCAACTCAATCAAAAGCACCATGGGTAACTACTTTTTTTGTATTTGCACCAGGGACTGCATCACCTGAATCTTGAGTTGCTTTCATGGCAGAAATCAGCCTCAATATGAGTTTTTTTTAAATGGGTAAAAAGATAGAATGCAGTTTGTTTTGGTTGCCTAACTTCTGCAAGATGAATACTGGTATCTCTGCGGGATGTGAAATGTTTTAATTTGAATACATATTTCAGTATAAAATAAAACCAAAAAGAAAAAACAGCCTTCCAGTATTTGTGTAGCAGAAATACTTCATGTTTTTCTTAACTTCCTTCTTGTTTATTATGTAACAACCTTTCACATCTATTTTAGAACAGCTTGGTGAGCTTGACCCATAGTTTGAGACCCACTGACCTAAGTGAAAAAACAACTAGTATATAATAAATGGAGAAAAAAATCATTGTGGAATCAACCTTTCATTTAAATATAATAGCAAGTACAATCTGAGCTTCTTCACGTATACATTTAAAAACCTGTATATATTAAAAGTGCATTTCACTATGTTTTTTTATATTCTTTCTGTCCTTGAAGGCAGTTCACGTTGGTGCGTGTGGTTAACGTTGTGAAGCGTGTGGACGGGATGCAGGGCAGCCGCTACCTTGTGGAGCTTGAGCTGAAAGATGCAAATGGCCAGCTGCTGCGCCTATCGCACTACATCTACACTCTGACCCGCCATAGCAGGCAGCCCAGCAAGGACTTCCGTTTCCAACGACAGGAACCTCAGCTGGTGCTGTGTAACCCGGTGGGCTTCCGCTGGAACCCAGAGGCCACCGTTCACTTCATAGTACCAGGTACATCCACCCTTCACATGCCCCTTTTGTTCATTTGTTCATTTGTGATTTCATTTCACCATCTTTTTGAGTCACAAATACAATAATCTTCAAGGTACTTGGGTGATAAACATTTTACTTTAATGGATAACAAACAACTCTCTATGTCAGCACTTACTTCTTTGACCCTATTACCTGTAGAAGGTCTCATATTACTATTATTAGCCATGTCCCAACCACAGCATCCTAGTCATTATTTTGTTTAAGAAAAAAAGACCTCCATTATATTGCCATCCATAGCGGATTCAGAGCTGAATAAAAACTCAGACCTCAGTGGACCTTTGGTAAAAGAGGAAACCACAGAAGCCAATCTTTTAAATGCACAGGAATAAAGACAGGCCTCACGGGATTAGATCCTTAAAATGAAATATCAAAGAGAAAAACCTTCTGGCACCCTGGAGATTGTGTCATGGCAAGACTGTTGAGCTCGTCTTATACAATGAAATTGTTCAGTTTACACTGAGGCTAAAGAATAGTGCCCAGAGGTCTTTATTCACTTCAGTAATCAAATATATGGTGTATTAATGTCAGTATTGTCTATTTTTTGAAGAATAATATAGTCAAGGGAGTTGACATTGAAATACTGATTGTAGATAACATTTTCAATAGTTCCTTTTCTTTAGTTAAAGATACATGTATGCTGATTATATTCTGTTGTTTTGTCTTCATCAGATGTATTATATGACAATAGTACCATCAAAATGTCTTACTCAATTCATATTTTCTTTTTTTGAGTGTCTATTCAGTATGACAGTTAAATACTGATGATGTTTTTTTCACTTTTTGTCTATTCATGCATTACTGACCAATTGTCTATACAACTTTCAGTGAAAAACCAGGCTCGCTGGGTGCAGCAGCTGATTTCAGATATGGAACAACTTTTCAGAGAAACCAGAGACTCCAACTTCAACCTCATCATCGCCGACTACAACAGCACTGACATTGATGTGAGGAAGGCTCTAAAGAAGTCCTCACTCCCCAGGTATGTGTGTGTTTATTTTCTTCACTTTGATGTTCAATCTTAATGTACTAAAACGATCACACAGAACATATTTGTTCTAAGATGTTGCCCGTTGAACATATCAGGTACCAGTATGTGAAGCTGAGCGGAAACTTTGAGCGCTCTGCGGGTCTGCAGGCAGGAATCGATCTTATAGATGTGAGTATTGCAACAGAGTTTTAAAATGAATAGACATTTACACGTGTAAATAAAAGTAAAACCATATTTGTATTGATTTTCTCTTCTCCCTAAGGATGACCACAGCATTGTGTTTCTGTGCGACCTCCACATCCACTTCCCTCCCTCCATCATTGACACCATCAGGAAGCACTGTGTGGAGGGATACATGGCGTTTGCTCCAATAGTGCTGAGACTGTCCTGCGGGGCTATGCCATTAGATGCCAAAGGTAGATGCAAATTCTCCCATCTTCAGTTAAGTCAGTGAGATATTGTTAAATTAGTTAGTAGTCAGGAGTGAGGGTAGGAACCCTGTTAGATGTACAGCAAAGTTGGAGAGAGAAGGTCAACTTGAAGAGGGGACAGTGCTGGAAGCCTTTCGTTGCAGAAAAAAATTGGCTGGTTTGGTTTGACATGAAAAGCTGCCATTCCTAGACTTTTTGTGTTGTGCCTGTTCTATATATACAGATTACTGTACGCTTTTCTGTGTTCTGTGCTTGTTGTGTTACGACTGACCCATCATAGGAAGCCCACTTTTTCAATGCTCCTTTGTCGACTCAGGTAGTCAGTATTAAAACAAGCAAGTTGTCTGCATCCACAGATGGGAAGGAATCCACACCGAAACCTCAAAGCTCTTAATTTGCATTGACATGTAGGATTAACAGCTTAATCCCCACAGCCCCACAATCAGATTTGCCAGGTTGTAACAAGGGGCAGGGGTAGATGAATACAAAGTAATGTTTTGCTCACATTGATTTAATGTTCAAACACCAAAAGCAGCGCTCTGGTAAGTATTGCACTTTTAGGAGAATAGTGGATGTACGCAATTTTACATTTATATGAACATTTGGACATACCACCTGTGTTGCAGGTTACTGGGAGGTCAACGGCTTTGGCCTGCTGGGCATCTTTAAGTCAGATCTGGACGCAGTGGGAGGAATGAACACCAAGGAATTCAAAGAGCGCTGGGGAGGAGAAGACTGGGAGCTCCTCGACAGGTTTCGCCTTGTTTCTTCAGATTAATTTTTTTCTTGCTCATATTTTTTTCTTCTATTTCCTCTATTTGAAATTCATGTTTTTTGTTCCACTTTATTGTGAATAATGTTTTTTTTTAATAGGCCAATTTGAAATATGTGTTGCCACTCAGTGTTGCTGTTACCAACAGTAATAATGGTCTCTCCACTTACATACTCGACTTTAACAAGTTCATGCATGTCCTGTTAAAGTTGTTTAAAAGAACTCTTGGCTGAGTGTAAACACTGAGTGGAGCAGATGGATTACAAAATAACTGCTTGAATGCATTGAATAGGACGAACAGGTGATACACTACAGTGTAGTAAGTAATTTTTTTTAATGTTCCTAAAGCAGTGTATATTACAGTGAGCATGGACCTCACGCTGCATTATGTTCCAAGATTATTATTATTATTATTATTTTTAGGTTATAAGCCATTTTTAATAATCAGATGAAAAAACAAGGCGGCATTTACCTTCACATGACTTTTCTTATAATACAAAAATATATATCTCAAATAAATCAGTCGAAATCTAATGTTGAACAAAATAATGTAAATCAAACCAACTAGTATACGTATTTCTGTTAATAAGTAGTTTAACTTTTGTATTTATATCGAAATCTGCGCCGCAAGAATAAACAGTTTACGCCTGTTTTCATTGAGTGCTGGACAATTATTAACCTTAATATAAATGTAAGTTACCAAACTCTCCCCTCCTTTCTTCTTCAGGATTCTCCAGGCAGGACTGGAGGTGGAGAGGTTCTACTTGAGGAAGTTCTTCCACCACTATCACTCCAAACGTGGCATGTGGAACCGCCGTGTGTCGCCTAGGCACAGTTGAGCCTGTCACCTGCTCACTGCACCATAACAATGATCGCCATGGTTACAACCACGGCAACCAGAGCACTTTAAGGCCAGAGCCTGATACATGCATAACCACACAACCTTCTGACCGACAGCCACGGTGTCCAAAGATCGGATACTGTCTTCATTATGTGAGCTGTGTGGAGAAAAAGCAATCCACAGCAGTGACAATCGTTGTTAAGGAAATACTACTGATAGAGTTTATTACACTGGATGTTCTGTTGACTACTGCTAGGGTACTGGTGGATGAGTGCCAACGACTGTGTGATATTACAAATGAAGATACACCATGACTGAGGCAAAGATCATCTGCACTACCTACTGCAAAGGAACTTCTCTGATCCAAAGACAAAAACGTGAATTCAAAATGGAAGTTCAAGGATGTATACACACAAGTGACCTATATCATCACAAGTCTTGCACATGAGTCTTAACTTTTTGTTTTGTTTGTGACAAAAGGAAATATCTGTTTTTGACAGCAGATTTTCTTCTAAACACAGCCTTATTTTTCATGTTGTAAATTATGGGAAATTTTATATTTATTTTGTCAATGTGTAGGATTTGTATTTGAGTTTGAAGTTATTTTAAGTGTACCTCCGTTTACCTGTTAAGTGCCCCCACTTATTTGTTCCATTACATACTTAATGTGCCTTCTTTTGTGAATGTGGCTATTCAGGTAGCCTACTGGGGCCACAAAGTGCTGTTTTTACAGATTCAGGAAAAGCCTTAAACTGGAAAGAATTTAAATGTTTAAGTTAATTTTACGAGTGTATCATCTAGTGTTGTCAGAGAAGGACTGTTAGTTATATTCTGACAGGTATGTTTGAGTTGCCCAACTTATTACAGACAGTGTTGGCATATGAATAAACAATCCAATATGAGAAAACTGAAACAAAAAAACTGTTCGCAGAATAACTGCTTTTTTGCCTACACTGCCACCTACCAAAGATAATAGAAGTTGATTGGAATAACCTCTTATAATATAAAGAAAATCAGGGTTTGGTTTTTAACATGACAGACTATTGAAAATGTAAATATAGAATTATTGGCCATTTTAGTCACAGATTAGTTGTACTGAAATGTTTGTCTGTACTGCCAGCTCACATTATTTGTATTACTCTATTTGCTAAACGTAATAGTTATTTTTTCAAAAAAATAATTGTAATTTCACAAATCACAAAATCTTTCTTGAAACTTGGGAAGAGTTATTTTGACTGTCAGCAGTAAATACAGGAGTAATACAGGAAATATTGTAGCTGAAACATATTGTGTATTTTTTTCATACTGTTTATTGGCAATACAGCATTTTCTCTGATTGTCCACATTCCAGTTACATGTCTTGTGCCTTTCTTAGACTTTGAAATGTAATACATGTTGAATTGTTTCTCTTTTTATTAAGGGCAACCAAAAACACCAAATTCTGGTGTGATGCCAGACTGCTGGTGGTTTTGGTTTGTAACACTGCCAAGATGAGTGTGATTTCCCCTTGTTCATGTTCATGCATTGAAACTTTGAAATGTGGTTTCTGTATTGACCAGAATTTTTCATGCTTTCCTCTTTTACTACTCCTTCATCTCTTACATTGTTATTTTTAGATATACCTCATCCATCTCTTTGTGCTGGCAGACGAACTGCCTTGTTGTACGAGTCTCTTCTCTCAGGTAGTTTTTTCTTTTTTACCATGCTTTCATCAATCTGAGAAATAAATTACTTTTGCCTTAATTTCCGTCCAGTATGTGTGCTTTTATTAATTTTCATATAAAATGCAATGCAAGTAGTGGACTGAGCAATCTCAACTGATATCACAAATCTGAGATATTCTGGCTGTTTACTGTCTGGCTAAAGACTTAAAACTAAAAAATAGCTCTTTAGACACATTCTCAAATTTATTTTCAGTTTTGAATAACAGGATGTATGCTATGTTGCTATGTCCCAAGCACCACCCATTACATTTTAATGCAAATACATTTTGTCAAAACCTGTAATTGTCCTCAGGCCGGGACTCTTATCAAGCACAACATGTTGAGCAGGTTGGAGAATGTATGTCCAAGTAACAACAAATTTCAGTGGCATGGCAAGTGAAATGTGTGATTCACATGCCTGTTATTGTAAATCTAGGTGTAACCGGTGTAACGTACAGCAGGGGCTGCTTCGTAAAGTTTTTTAGGTGGCGCTATTGAGCCACCCTGTCACACCAAAACACACCATCCATATCGGTTAACTAAGTGAATCACATGGCCGACTTCCTGTTGGATTTAAGATATGCCTCTAAGAAGCTATTTTTGTGCGTCTCACCATGCTACATATGCCCACAATATTTCAATCAATCAATCAATGTTTATTTATATAGCCCAATATCACAAATGTTACATTTGTCTCAGTGGACTTCACAGTTTGTACAGAATATCAGTATGAAAATACGACACCCTCTGTCCTTAGACCCTCACATCGTAGGCCTACAAGGAAAAACTTCCGGAGAAAAAACACAGTTTAAAGGGGAAAATGGGAGAAACCTCAGGGAGAGCAACAGAGGAGGGATCCATCTCCTAGGACGGACAGACGTGCAATACATGCCATGTGTAAATCGAAGATATAATACATTTCACATTTCCAGGTGAAACTTGATTGAGGGGCTGCCTTTTGGCAACTTTGTTCGGGGTGCTTTAGAGCTTTTTGCCCAGGCCCCAAGAACGCAATCAAGTCAAGTTTGGGGGGGAAAAATCAACAGTTTGCAAATGTTTAGGCCTTCAATATAGCAATTTATTATGACAGTAAAAGCAATGGCACATCACAAGAGAGTAATACCATGAAATCACTTTAGAAAAGACATCAAAGCACAATCTGTTCTGTGTTTACTTGGGGGTATTAGATCAATGTCATTGTTAAATAAAGGTTTAGTATTGTAATGTGACATAAGACACACTGCTTGCCTGAAGGTTGTTACGGATTAATAACCTTAACACCTTTAGCATACAGCCTTCCCTCAGCATTGTTAAAACAGCAAACAGACAGCCAATGTTATAAAAATGGACGCCTACCATATTTCTGTCTTAACAACACAGTTTAAGAGAAACACATTGGAATCATTTTAAGCTTTTACAATGGTGATGAAAATGCCGTGGACAGCAGGAATAATAGTCTGAGTGTACACTGGCGTCTACACAGACACATGTTGCATTTTAACAGATCCTCACAAGGACTCATAAATTCCTCGGGGGCTGCCGAACCATCTTGTCACCGCTCCATCATCCAAACTCCATTTGACTGACACTTTCTGAAGTCAGTCCAAGGACAGCTTCTGCATGTGTGACAGTGTTTACCGTTTATTATTGGAGAGGAATTCATTCCAGTTCAAAGAAAAGGCTAAGTATATCCCAGCTCTGACAGAAAATATCTTCGGTACTTTTGTCTGTAAGTCAATGACGTAGCTAAGCAATGACACCGTACATGATAGACGGTCACTATGCCCTTCTGATAACTTTGTTCAAGGACAATGCCAAGTCCACTGCAGTTATAAATAAAAACCTGAAGATAATGTTTAAAACATTTTTACAGTTTAAAAAAACAACTGGCTGTGAAAATGTACTGTGTTGCAGTATTAGAGCAGAGGCTACATTCAGTTTCTGTATAATACATATTTGCAAAATACACAAATATACATACATTGTATCCATGTGGAAAAATGCAAGATTTCTTCTTCAATTTTGGTTGTCATATCATGGTGCAAGTGTTGTCTTTCCTTTTTTATAATGGCTCGATGGCTAAAAGGATGTTATTTTCTGAACGTATCAGACTGTTCTATTTGCCTTAACCCACTTAGTCGTTATATCAACACTACTGAAGAATACTTCAAGTATTTGGTCAAAATTAAATGTGTACACAAGTTTTTCAATACTTTCCATACCTATACTTTGAATCTATTGTGAATAAGTGTGATTGCAACAAAAGGAGAGACAATATGTACATATTTATTGTTTTCTTTTACATAACAACTTTATCAGGCAGTACTGTGTATTCACAACTCTATTTAACATATGGTTTACTCGAGAATATATTAAAAACTACAGGCACATGAAAGTCATACTTTTGAACAAACAGCAGCAGCAATTTTTTTTAACATTATGTATAAATATTTATTTATTGTAACAATTTCACTCCGTTTTCTTTTTCTCATGCATCAAACATCTTCTTCCTGCCCTTCATATCAGACATGGCCTCCACGTTTTTACGCCAGTCACCCACCTCGTTGTTCAGCTCCTAAGGTATCAAAAAGCACAGAAACACATTAGGTTTTTTTTCAGTTTCAGATATATGTTCTCTCTCTGTGTCTGAGTAGCAGTACCTTCTCCTGTTTGTTGTCCTCTTTCTTTACAGACTTGAGGTTTGCCCTCAGGTCCATGGAGCCCTTGTTTTTGGATCCGAAGAGAGCCTTTAGCATCTCGTCAGCAGACACTCTCACTTTTCTCAGAGCTGGCTTCTTGAACTTCCCTCCAAGGTCACGCACCTTTAGATTCAATTCGTGGATCTAGAAAAGGTGAAAGACTGAGTTGGTGACATTGTGCTTACAGAATCAATTTCTCTTGTGCTTCTATTTTGTTTTCCCTTTAAATCTGGTGTGTCCTGGTGCATGAAATACATCTCTGTTGTTCTTGATGACTTTGGCCTCACAGTCGTACCGATCCTCGTCCACCTTATCAATCTTTTCATGAAGCTGCTTACAGATTTTCTAAGAAAAAAACAGCAAACAAATATCCACACTATATTTGAGTACATTAACGAAACACATGATTACTGTATTTACATAATCAATATTGTATGGTTAGTCTTATTGTTCGTAACACATTTTACCTGAATTTCCTCCAATTCCAAACCGGAGAGCTGGAGCGGTGGGAGATTCTCTCCCAGGTACTGGACCTTATTTTCCTCTCTCACTTCTTTCTCTGCCTCCAGTTGTTCTGATGCACGAGTCAGTAACAGGATCTGGATGATTATAATTATCATCAGAGCTCCTTTTTACATTTTATTTGGGTTTTAATATAAAAATGAGTCCCTCACATTAACAGATCGATGTATAGTTTGTAAGGTAAAATGTTAACACATGAGTAGTTTACCTTCAACGATAGCCTGCGGGAGGCTGAAATCTTGCTTTTGGGCTGAAAATATAAAAAATATGACATATGACAACTGATTTTTTTACGATAACACACTCTTGATTTTAAAAACATATTAAAATAGATCCCTATTTTCAAGCAGTTACCTGTTTGAAGCTGCCCTAACTAATGTGACAATGTGAATTATTATGTAACTTACATACACAATACATAAATGGTTTTACAGTATTTTATTATATGTCCCTTAAAACTTGGTACGGTCAAAAATAAAAGCAATCATATATTAAAATGTATAGCGAATAGTATTGTTTTTTCTAGGAAAGTTTTTACATTTATTACAAAGACAGTCAGAGACGCAGACTCATACTGACAAAAAAGCACAATGTCACTGTTATCATAAAGACATTGTCAGTTCAAATAAGTATTACCTTTGGCTCTACCTTCGGGGCAATCGGGGGTGGCATGTACTGAGGAGAAAGGATAAAGACAATTAATTTAAGCAACGATAAACAACTTTTTGGAGAGTTTTACAGAGTGGTTCTGGGTGAAACTTACATCACTTTGATGGCCAGATGGATTTTTTTGGATAAAAGAAATCAGAAATACAAGCAAACAAGACACGATGTTATTATTCTGAAACAAAAATCTTTGATAACTAGGCTAACAAACACTGTGGAAAACATAACTTTTAACCTGTGTGAAGCACTTACTCATCAGACATTGTTGCACCTTTGAAAAAAACAAGGAAATAGATGTGAAAAATAAATAAAATAGTCCGGTAAACAAAACAAAATCTGCAGGATCAGAACATGCCTCAATGTAAACAGTGAAAAATCTGAATGGCATGTAACAGCAGATAGCTTTTATATGTTGGATGTGTGCACCAAAGATCCTCTATTAAGACAATGAATCACTCCACTATAGCTAATGAAAAGTGACTGCTCCTTCCTTGCAAAGTAGGTTTCTTTTTATAAATGACTGACATCCAGCTGGTTTCTTTGTGTGAACCCAACATTAATATTCAGCTCTACTTTGGACTTTTCCCTCAAATTAAAAAATTGTTTTTGCCAACTTCCTAACAAAGTAGAAGCACATTCAAATTATGTGAACATCAAAATCGGGTTTGATTTTTACTAACATTTTCATCAAGTAAAGGAAGACAATTGTGGTACTTTGAAAAAAGGACGTAGTGAGACGTCTCCTATGTTTCTAGTATCACTGTTTTGCCTTGTGACACCGCCCACCTCTCAGTCAGAAATTATTGGTCGGTCACCGGGATTAACGAGATGCCACCGCTTGTTAACTCAACAGCTCTGTTGATTGACAGAATTATCGCCTCTGTCAAAAGGGATGATGTCCTTAGTCTGAAACTAAAGAATACATATTTGTTGTACTGGTCATTCAAATCCTGGAGGGGGTGAAAAAAACTAGTCTCAATACAGGCACTTGTGTGCAGGGAAAGCCTAGAAACAACAAGATTGTTCTCTGCTCCTCAGCAGAGGTCACTTGTACCCAATAACCTTTATGGTGCTATGTTTGTCATCCACTCTTTGGCATTCTGCACCCAACAAGTCACAATCAAACTTGGTGCCTCACCAGGAAACTTTTCTGTCCTTCTAATTGTATTTAATTGGTTGGCTGTGATAATGCGAGGCAACTTTATGTTGTCATTAGTCTGAGTTTTTACTTCAAATGTAACCTCAGCTTTTACCTTAAGTTAAAAATAAACTGTGTAGGTGTTGTGTAGGTTTCACCATCTGACATAACAAAGCATCAAAATCAATGTTGTTGGTAATCTTTGACATATCACAGATATCGCATAACAAGATAATCAATCTTTATGATTTTATTTTTACTTCATAACTACAACATTAGCATTATGGAAACACTGGCTTTTAAAATAAATAGATGAGTATTTTGTCAGGAATTATAGTGCTTATAAATGTAACTAAAGTGTAAAATAATATTATTAAATACGTTATAATGGCAGCTGTTATATTTGGCACGGACATTGTTTTCCTCAAATGATATCAGAACACATTTTAAAAATGGGGCACAAAGGTTAAACACATGGTTAGATTAACCTCCGGAGCCCATATTGCAAAAAAAAGTCCCCATCATACACAGAGCACACAGCAAAAACTAAAGACACATTTCATTTGGATTATTATTACCATGTGAGCACAATACATGCTAAAATGCAATAGCACATGACAACAAGTGGTTGTTTTAAGGACTACTGGGTACATATATAATTCCTGGGTCAAGTGCAGCAGGTCTGGGTTATTATGACTACAGCACAGACTTAAACAACATAGTTCGCTCAATCTTCTCATAACAAATATTGCATGTATTGTTTTTAAAGCCTCTTGGCCAGATTGGAGTCCCAGCATGTATTGAGCGATTGATGGCTATGCCCCAATTCAACTGATTTATGTATGTAAGCAATATTTCTGTCACATCCGATAGGATGTTTACAGGTTTACAAGGAAACCATGGAAACCATGTCATGAGTGTGCTCACTTTAAAGATAGATGCATTTAGTGTTTTTTTTTGTCTTTCTCTCTCTTGGGATTGCAGTGGGAAAAAAAACCTTCACATAATGCTGAATCACTTTGGGTCATATGAGTGTGTGCTGTGTGACATAACTAAAATGTGTATATAGAGTGTGTATTTCTTATTTATGAAACATACATTAGATGTTACTGTCCTTTAAAGGTTGCAAAGTGTTGACCTTGGTGGTGCCAGCCTACTCTGGCATGCCTCATTACTGTGGAAGTGCTGATATGTTTTGTGGGCCGACATGAACAAAAGCATGTAGTGTTTTAAATAGAAGCAGGTTCAGGGTAGTCCCTAGTGCACTTGACAGAATGCAACACATCTTTCACACAATATCTATTTTAGGGTTAAATAACTCCCTGATCATCATATCCCTCTGTTATTATTTATTATTTTTAGGGGGCTGTAATGTAAAAAAGCCAGCTAAGGAAAAATGTAACCTTTAAAATGGGTCCAGGTGAGACGAGTTTGCTACAATAGTTGGTCTTACATATGTAACCTAATCTTGAGTAATGACTCCCTGTTCTCAGTTCCAGGCGCAGACATTTTGTTTTCTAGATAGACACACAGATACATGCAGACCATAAATACCAACATATTGTCGGACTTCCCCTCTAGACTGATGTGAGATGCTAGTTTGTGTTTTAATTCAGACAAATCCACCTGGGACAAGGCTCAGTATTGGAGTATTTCATGACAAATAGGCCTTGGTTGGTCCTCTTCAAAGAGCACTGAGCAAAATAAAAAGATAATTTTGGGATTTCTTACGGAAACCCTGAGAGGCAAGTTGGAAAAAAACATTATAGCTATCCATTGTCTCAGTTTTATCTAAATTGTTGTAATTTACTTTAGAAAGGCAAAACCACAGTATTGGAGGATTTCTTTTCTAAGTTCCTTGAATAATATGTTTTATCTGTGAAACAGGTGGCAAAAAATGGTTTCCCCATGATAGTTACCTTTTGTGGCTGTAATGGATATTAAAATAAAAACACTGACAAATGAAACAGTTTCAGCTGCCAAATCAGATTCCCAGCTGTTTCCCACATTACATATTATATTAAAAAGTCTAAAGAAAATTAGAAAGATGATCCTAGCAAAACGATAGACTATATAAGAAAACATATCATGGTCATTAATGTCAACCATCGGTTGATGGACCACGGTTTTTAAGCATTGAGCATGTTGGACATTGCCGTCTTGGCGTTTTCCATCCCCGTCTTACTATTTTTTTTTAATCAAAGTGACACTTAACCCTGATAAAGATATCTTAAGGCATCTAAAAGGTTACACATACTTTTCTGGAACAGGAAACACATTGTGAGAGAGGTTGAACTTTTAAAACGAAATTACAGACAACTTGCAAATCAGACAACACAGTGTCCTGTCAATCAAAAGGTAGCCCTGCTCTAAAGCATTCCCTGCTTTATTGTCTGTTTATTAATCAAAATGGATCATAACTTTTAGAAATAAGTATATGACATTACGGATTGAGACCATAAACTCGAAAACTTTCAGTGATAAAAAGTGTAATTTTCTCATTGACCTGTACACAACTGTATTCTCTTTACAACCAGTGTAGTTGCCCCCTTCTCCATATTAGAGAAATCGCTGGTTCAAGGCACTATCACATCGGCTTGATATAAAACATATAAAAAAGTCAAATGAAACTGCACTAAACAACTGCGGTTAAGCCAGGCTTCACTTCGGAAAACAAAGTCAAGCCAGCCCCCACGTTGTATTGCGGTGCGCGAATATCCTATGCATTTCGGAAGAGGCCTGTAAAAACTGCCTTCAAAATAAAAGCGCTTACTCGGTCAATAACAAATACCTAAAAAAACATACCAAACATATTCATATATACTGGAGCTTAAATTAAGAAATATGTACTGTATAATGTGATCAATAATAATTTTAAACGATATACGTATAACTACCACATTATAACTGAGTGAATGTAAAACTTATGGATACAGTTATGAAGACATATCTGACCATTACATTAATTACATCATTCATTCATGCATACATTCATTACATCCAGGGCTCGTAATAACTGTTAAAGGGCAAGGCTATGGTAACGATACTGGATCACTACACACAAGATGCATGATGAGAAAAAGACTGGCATTTCCAATTCCATTTCCGTTTTGTTGTCCATTTACACTTTAATACCCACTTATTTTGTAGTTGGTATGTATATTTAATTAAAAAAATCTGCTTCTTATGTTATTTTTTTTGTTATAGCATTTTATAAATGATAATATTGGTGTTAATGTTCACTTTATTTAAAATTGTGTGCAGCCCCTTAGCTGTGATATAATGAGCATATACCACGGCCTGTCGTGAGCTATTGCTTAAATATACAGGGGTGCACACAACTTTCTCAGTGAGGTACTCAGATGAGTACCTGGAGTCAGTGTTTGGTACTCCAACTTCCGGCTCCCTCAAAGTTCCCATGAAGCCCTCTGTATCGCGAATATCAGCGGGTGGGCCACCCGCTGATATTCGCGATACAGAGGGCTTCATGGGAACTTTGAGGGAGCCGGAAGTTGGAGTACCAAACACTGACTCCAGGTACTCATCTGAGTACNAATTTGTTTCGTAACTGAAGAAATGCAAATATATTTATAAAACTGACAAGTCAAATCAAGCAATCTGATTGGTCGATAGTGTTTTTGCGGACCTCTTTGATTACAGATTTGAAAACATCGTTGCTTGCTTTAAAAGTAGCACAATTCATTATGTCAAACCTTGGAAAGTGTCTAGATATCCCTGCCCTAATGCCAAAGGAACTGCACACTGAATATGTTTTGCCGTTTGATGTGATCTGGACCGCTGCGTAAAAAGGAGGGTTTCTGCCCCGTTACTTCTCCGCTGCTTTCTTGTTCCAGCCCATCGGTATACTGTTTTTCGTAGACGCGGAGGGATACTGACTTGTTGTGAAAAGTAACTTACAATTCTACCCATGGTATACGCTCAGTATATCACGGCTAAGAACCAATCAGATTGCTTGATTTGACTTGTCCGTTTTATAAATATATATATTGTATGTATATATATATACATACAATAGACCTCAATAGTCATCTTTTATGGTGTACATGCCTTTTTAATAACATTTTTGAATGGAACATTCAAAAATGTTGAATTAATTTTAAATAAAGTGAACATTAACACCAATATTATCATTTATAAAATGCTATAACAAAAAAAATAACATAAGAAGCAGATTTTTTTAATTAAATATACATACCAACTA